CCAGACGCTGGCATTTTCAAATCAAATGAACAGTGTATAAAATTAGTTCTGCATGAAGTTAAAAAAAAGAGAGAGAGAGTGAAAGGGAGCTTTTAAAAGCTCCAGCATTTCTCCATCCAACTGCTTTTCACAAGGATTTGGCATTTGAGAATTGCTACATGTATGATGTTATTCGCTGCTCATAATTCAGGCCCTCTGTCTCCAAACTTCTGTATTAACACACACTGCAGAGGTTCCCACCACGACATTTTATCACCAAGGTTTTCCACACCAGCCAGGCTGCCTCTGGCGAGGTCTAGTTTCTCAGCCAGTGCCATGCCACTGGGCTCCCTCCCTTCTCATCAACCCTGTTACCCCAAACATTTTCCATTAACCTTGAACACTGTATTTCCATTTGCCCTAGAGCTTTCCCATGATTTTTTTTTTGTCCTTTTCAGTTTTGTTCTCCATCCAAACTGCCTTGTCAGAAATGAGGAAAATATCATATTATTAGAAGAAACAGATCTATATGGAACCTAGAGTTCTATAGAATAGTCTATTCTGAAGTTGTGAAAATGATTTCTATGACCAAAGCCATCGACTGTCTATAATCGTGGAAAGCAGAGTAAACATATCGCTCTTACTAGAGTCCCATTGACTATACAAGCGGTTTTAACTAAATCACCAAATAAATGCGTGTTAAGTTGATAGGTGATTTCGGGTCAACTCTAATTCCCAAGGTCAAGTAAGCCTTTGAACAGTCTTTAAGAATATAAGTTCACCCCAATTCATGAAAGCTGTCTCACACAGCGTTTTCTTCTCTTGGTTCTTACAATGCACTAAAGTTTAGGAGATTAAGTGGCGTCGGTTTTAAAACTCAAAGTAATGCCTCTAACATACTTATCCATCCAGCGATTGGAACAGCTACTCAAACACGGGCTTCTTAATGCACTTCCTAATTTTACAAGTGCTCAGGAAATGTTGCGTTTGAGGAATGCCTGGAGGACTCCTCCCTAGGAGTCACCAATGTTGCAGCCAAACACATTCACTGCAGTTCAGTTTAGACATTGTCTGACAATCTAAGCATACGTTGCTGTCATTGCAAAGAATACATTTAATGTTTCTCATCTGTTCTTTGTTTACCAAATGAGAGAGAGAAAGAAGAGGGAGACAGAGGAAAACACCTTTTCCTACTACAAATGCATTTTGTTATTCTTGCAATTCCTCAAAAGCCCACATGAGGAAAAAAAGCTCAAGCTTGGTAAAATATAGCTTCCAAATTAAATGTAAGTGGCCCCAAATGAAACTGGCTGCATGTGAAAGAAAGTATTACTAGCCTTCAATATGTCACAGAACCACAGGATCACAGAACTCAAGCCCTGGGACACACAGACGTCACAAACCCCATCTCTCCCCAGAGCAGGATCCCAGTGACAACATTCCTGACAAGGGGGTTAACTGTGTAGACCATCAAGGTCTCTTGCCTCTCCTTTGGCTCCAGTTGGTATGCAGAAAGGGGAGGAAATCAAATTGGCGAGTTATTAATGGTTAGCAAATTTGGTTAAGGTACAGAGAGAGAGAAGGCTGATAGACCCAAACTAGTTTTGTTCTTCAATTATTGGTTGGCACAGATGATCACATTGGGATAGATAATGGGGTCTTCATCTCCATATCCTGATCATGATTTCTCTGGATCTTCTATTTCTATTCTTATTTTTCTCCATTATTATTACTTTCTTTTTGTTTCCCTGCCTATTTGAATTGTCTTATCTTCAACTCAGCCTTTTCTTCCACTGCAAATCTTTCTTCATCCCTATGCCCAGGTTTGTAAGTTGATTCGAAATACAGAGTGTCCCATGGAGGTATTAGTTTTCCTTTGTCGAGTATGTAGAAAATGTAATTATTGACATCTTAGTATAGAAAATAATAATCTGAATTTTATTTTATTTTTTAAAGTATTCTTTTTTTTTTAAAGATTTTATTTATTTATTTATTTGAGAGGGAGAGAATGAGAGATAGAGAACACGAGAGGGAAGATGGTCAGAGGGAGAAGCAGACTCCCTGCTGAGCAGGGAGCCCAATGCGGGACTCGATCCCGGGACTCCAGGATCATGACCTGAGCCAAAGGCAGTCGCTTAACCAACTGAGCCACCAAGGCACCCCAATAATCTGAATTTTAAATTTAACAGAGGAAAAAGTAGAAGGACAATGTCTTCTCCAATCTCAGTTTATATTTTCTCTAATTTCTTTTCAAAATTGGATAGCAGGCAGTACAATTTTTTTCTCATTTGGAAATTTCAAATATCAAAACACAGGTTAATGTGACATTGATGATAATAATCAGTAGCACTCAGTATTTTATACACAACAAACATGATTATTCTAAGAGCGTGGTATATGTTCACTTATTTAAATGCTCACAACAACTCTATAAGATAGGTACTATTATTATTCCCATTTTACAAATGAGGAAACAGAGGCACTGAGTAAGCAACTGCCCAAGATGACACTATGGAGAGCAGAGCCCAGATTTGAACTCTGGCCTCTTAAGTCCGTGACCTATCAACTATTTTAACCTCTTTGCTACTCAAGTCTTTCTGAGTCTTGATAAAAATTTAAAATCTGGAGATAGATTGCATAACACAAATTTTGAAAGCTGAGTAGCTACTTAATCTAGATTTCCATCCAACTAAATCAACAAACAGGCTATTATGTGCAAGGCTTTACTTGCACTTTGTGGGTGGTTTGGAAGCTTCCTCTGTCCTCTCAGAACCTCTCGTGTCTGGCTCTGAGCTGCCGTAAGCCTAAGGACGCCAGGCAGCAAGGCTGGACCCAGCATCCCCCGGGGCCAGGCCGCATGGCAGCAGGCTAAGGGCAGACAGGGTGATGCTAGAGCCAGCAGCTCTCAGAGCAGCTCACTGTTCGGAGAAAGGATTCAGAGGCCACCTGAGCAAAGGACTAACACTCTCTCAGGGATACTGCTAATCAGAACAGCCTCCCCATCTCATTTTGGAGTAATTTGCATTTGGGTAGAAAAGGATCCATTCCTTAACTTAAAATTAGCAAAATGCTGGTCAGCAAGTATGTCTGGAATAATCTCCTGTACTAACTGGAACATAAACTTCTACAATTCATCTCTGAAGGTGGAGCTGACCTCAACAAATCTAAAGAGTGTGGACTAGAAATATGGTAATTTCCAAGAATGCTTGTGGATACACAGATACATTTTGAATGCATACATTTTGGTGTCCTTGGTTAGGAGTACTCAGGTAGCAGTTTCTTTTGGCAGACACTGAGCAAAGCTGTTGTCATTGCTTCACGTTTCTAGAATACTCTGTCTACTGTAGACTCTTTAACTTGTTTTAAAAAGAAATCTTCTGGGGCGCCTGAGTGGCTCAGATGGTTAAGCATCTGCCTTTGGCTCAGGTCATGATCCCAGAGTCCTGGGATCGAGTCCCGCATCGGGCTCCCTGCTCCTTGGGAGCCTGCTTCTCCCTCTGCCTCTCTCTCTCTCATGAATGAATAAATAAAATCTTAAAAAAAAAAAATAAAAAGACATCTTCTTTTTTAAAAGATTTTATTTTTAAGTAATCTCTACACCCAACATGGGGCTCGAACTCCTGACCCCAAGATCAAGAGTCACGTGCTCCACTGACTGAGCCAGCCAGGAGGCCCCAAAAGAAGTCATTTGAAAGTGACAGGGTTAGTAGCAGCATCAGGTTAGTTAGTAGTGAAATTTGAGGGAGACTTGCAACCCCTGGGTCTCAGTGCTGTTGCCTAGTAACAGTCAGTTTTTGAGGCTGGGCTGAGAATATACAGTAAATTCTCTCTAAACATAACTAGCTGGCAAAGGCCTAGTATAAGTTGGGATTTTAAAGCATTTGGAGACAGGAACTAGGTCAATTAACAAAAATGACATAGCACACAAAGGATTTGGGCCATTCTCCTATTTGCCCCCAAATATGCTATGTTTAGAAAATGCATGCCCTTGGAGAGACATATATATTTAGTTTCACTCTCTTTTGCTAGATTTGTCCCTAAGCACCATTTGCAAAAGCAGCACACATGTATACATTATTTTAAGATGCTAGCAAGTTCTGAGCAAGTATCTGAGGTTGATCTTTCCCAAGAAAGTAGTCCCTGTGCCCGGAGACTGAACCCATTGTGTGCCACAAGCACTGGACCCAGACTCCAAAGACCTGGGGTCAGATCTTGGATAAGTGGCCTCTGGCCAGTGCCTGGTCTTTCTGAGCCTCTGTTTTCTCCCCTTCACAGTGCAGATAACCACTTGTTAGACTTATAGGGGAGACATGGAAGTAACAAGGGGGAAAGCACCTCTGTCGTGGCTGGTGATCAGTACAGATTTTTATCATTTTTCCTTCTCAGTCTTCAAAGGGCCCCATATTAAATGTGGCATAATTTCCCAAACTCACACCCACATCTGGCCAGCTCCATACACCTTCAGTGGGACCTCTGGGACCATTTCTCATCATGTGCTAAAAGTGGCATCTTAAGTGTGGAAAGGTGCAAATTCCCACATAATATCCCCTCACTGGCCCTTTCTTGCCCCCAGATGGCTAGAATACATAGATGTTGAACACTGAAATCACACACTTCAAATTGCGAAAAACCAATTTGGCACTGTTCTTTCCACCTTCACTGTTGCAGGAAACTTGGAACGCAGAAAAGAATTTTACTGTTAGACCCTGCACATTGCTGTGTGCCATGCAAACATTTTTCATTTTGGTTCATGGACTTAGGGAGAGGAGGCCAAAATCTAATTTGACTGTGTGTATGACTGCTTTTCCTTTCTGCATAAGCACAAAATTCATTTTTAAACAGAGAAATGCAAAAATAATCCCAGATTCATTTAGAAAACCAGGCATCTGGCAATGCAATGCGTAGCTGTCACAGTACATGTATGTTCATGTACACACTTGTACATATAGGGAGAGAGAGTATGACAGTAATCTATTACCTACACTGATATATAGAAAACAAGTTTGAGAGGTAACTCTTACTTTATCGCATCTCATCAGCCCCAAGTATCTCAGGGATTTGCTGCTCTGTGCAATGAGGGTGGCTCCTTGATCTGTAATTTCTTTACACCAGCCGACATCCACAGTCTCTATCGTCATGCTATACCGGCCGATGGCTATCAGCGCTGCAAAGAGGGACAGAGAGAGAGAAAGCAAGCGTAAATGTTAGCAGCGTAAGGGGCCTCTACCTTAATATGACTATTCCCCTCATTTCCTCACTAAATTTGTTCCTGAAAGGTTGTGTGTAAACGAGTGTTTTGTAAACGAAATTAAATTTGAAATGTTTTCGGAAAGCTTGCTCTATGACAAACCCTTTCATAAAGTGAATAATCATTCCATAATTCCCCTTTCATTAGCACACAACCTCTTATCAGTTTTACTCATTACAAGGTTACCTGTACTTTCAAACATTCATATCTGCAGAAGAAATAAATTAAAATGAATTACATATATAAGGTTACAGAAAACCCCAAGGAGAAACTAAACTTTACCCAAGATAACTTGAATAATTTTTAAAAAGAAAAATCCATGTAAGCACCATTTTGAGGTGTGTTATAGTGCAGTGAGTTTCTTTACCGATTGGCATAATTTTTTCCATCTGTTCATGATCTGTAAAATGTAAGACTATATAGTATTTTTCCCATTAGTCCTTCTTGGCACTGTTAGGAATTAAGAGTACATTATACATACAGTTGAACTTAATTGGTGCCATGCTGGAGTGCAGTAAAGGGAATGCATTTGTTATGGTGAATTTCCTCACCATTATTAGAAGTTTTCCTTCTATTAACATATAAAATGAAGCCTGTCATCTGCAGACTATCGGTATCTTTAGTCGTCTTGACCGTTGAACGTTGTACCGCTAAACTAAAGTGCAGATGCTTATCCCATAATCTACGATGTGCACAACTTATCGCTGCTCCATTACCCCTCACCCTGTCAGAGTGACCAATCAGTGAAGGTGGCTCTTCGCTATGGACTTCTGATTTGAGAGACGTGCACACCTCTACGTTTGTGGAGCAGGAAAACAGATTTCAATACCTCCAGCCAGAACAAGTTTATGGTGCATTGGTTTGTAAATGAAAACCCTGAAAACAATGCCACACATATTAAAAAGGAAAGAAATTGTTTGCTAATTATTTCCTCATTCTAAGATAGGATGCGTTGATTTCTGTGACATTAAAGGCGGATGATATTTTCCAATTGACTAGATTGATAAGAGCAGAGTGAATTACTCATGTAAATAAATGTTAACTCCTAGAGCTCACAGAAAAGAACTTGGCAAAATCTTTGCTAATTACCTCAGTAATTTTTTCTTAAATAGAAAATTCATGCCCATGCCTTCAAATATCAAAGCACTTCTAAGTAGTCAGACATTTAAGGTTTACAAAAACAACCATGATCCCAGTGTTTTCCAGTGAAAATGCTACAAAGGACAAATTTTTTCTTCTCCTAGAAGTTCCTCATGCCACGAATTTGTTCATGCTCTCATTTTTGCATGCTACTTCGACATTTAGTTTCCAAAGAAGTGGGAGCAGGATGGAGGGGGATCTGCCAAAAGTTTGCTGAATGGTCTGAGTGATATTTTGTGTGTGGAAGCAATATCCCAGGTTAATCCCATTGGTGTCCTTGCCCTAAGAAAACTGTTATCTCTGGTATTGTCATAATTTTCACTATGATAAATGCAGTAGAAGGTACATAAAAGAAATTTCTTTGAATACAGAGTGCTCAAACTGTGATTTCAAAAGATGACAAAGGAGGGGCGCCTGGGTGGCTCAGTTGGTTAAGCGACTGCCTTCGGCTCAGGTCATGATCCTGGAGTCCCAGGATCGAGTCCCGCATCGGACTCCCTGCTCAGCGGGGAGTCTGCTTCTCCCTCTGACCCTCCCCCCATCTCATGCTCACTCTCTCTCTCTCTCTCATTCTCTCTCTCAAATAAATAAATAAAATCTTTAAAAAAAAAGATGACAAAGGATTGTGTACTTTTATTTAGGTTTGGGGCTAGAACATGAAAGCCCTGTACTAGCCAGAAAAGGGTAAAAACAAATGATCTGAGGATTTTTCAGAGGCTGCTTTATAAGCAAATGAAGAGTCAATAGCTATTGATTCTAACTGCTAAAAACTCTGGTGTTTAGTATTCCCCCTTTTTTTTCCTTTCTTGTCCAAATTAAAATAGGCAGTAAATAAGACAACTGAGGATAAATCAGGGTATTCAGTTTTTGTTTTGACACAATTCTATATACTAAAGTAAGAATTAAACTTTATTATTCCTTAGCTCCTTCAGTTATTCGGCAAACTCCTTATGAGTACTCACTCTAGAGCATTTTGTCCAATATCTATTGACCATCCATGTGTTAGGCACTGGGCTAAGAATTTTAGGCATATTGTCTTATTTAATCCTCTCAGAAACCTTATGAATTTTATTATTATTTCCATTTTAAGGATCAGTCACAGAAAGACTGAATAACTTTCCCAGTCACAAGATACTAAGTGGGAGAGTGGATAATAAGCTGAGAATTGGCTCTCAGCCCTGGCCACATATCAGATGTACTGAGTCCGAAGCCTGGGGCCAGGCACTGGGCAATTCTAACATGCTGCATCACTGGCGTGTGGACCTGCGATGTGGCAGGTGCTGGACCAGGTGTACTAGGTGGTGGGGATAGAAAGATGCACAGAGCGCAGAGGCCAGCTGATTGGGGGTGGAGGGTGGCAGGGTGGGGTAGAAATGAGGATCACCCAAGTAAACAGTGACAATACAATGCTCATCCCTCACCTCTTCCCATTCGTAACTCCTCACTTTTCATATCTCAAGTCAAAGGTCAGCTTCTCAAAACTGATCATCCTATCATTTACCTCTATTGGAAATGTAATTATTAATTTGTTTACGTTGCTGTGGCCCATCTCTCCGTTAGAATGACAGCTCCTATTCCTGTTGTATGCCCAGCATCTAGCCTGTGCCTGGGGAGGATTTGGTTCTTAAAAACGTTAGCTGAACACACCAATGGCTATAGTGTGGTTTAGGTCTATTAGAGAAGCATGCCCGGGGGGCACTGGAGCCTCTCACTCTTCAAGGGGGAACAGAAATCATGGGAGCCTTCATGGAAGAGCTGAACTAGGTTGTAAGGGATGAGTAAGGATTCTCCAGAAAAATGAAAGAGGGCAAGTATGTGGGGCTAAGAAAATGGCATACGGAAGGGCAGAGAGATGGGAAAGGATAGGGTAGCTGCAGGCCCTTCTGTGGGGCTGACCTAAAAACAAGTACAAGGATGTGGCAGGATTCACTTCAGAAATATTTATTCAATGATTAATGGCACTGGGGTAAGCATAAGAGATACAAAGAGTAGCAAAAACAAGCAGAGCCGTTGATGTTCTGAAATTTAGATTCTAGTAGGAGAGACAGATGTGAAACAAACGCAAAAATATATATAATTCTAAATTGTGACAAATGCTCCAAAGGAAATGGACTGGTCACTTTAAGAATAACATTTAAGTGGGGGGCACAAGGGAGAGTCTTTCTGATGAAGTTACTTTTTTTTTTTAAAAAGATTTTATTTATTTATTTGATGGAGAGAGACACAGAGAGAGAGGGAACACAAGCAGGGGGGAGTGGGAGAGGGAGAAGCAGGCTTCCCGCTGAGCAGGGAGCCCAATGCAGGGCTCGATCCCAGGATCCTGGGATCATGACCTGAGCCGAAGGCAGACTCCCAACGACTGAGCCACCCAAGTGCCCCTGATGAAGTTACTTTTAATCCCTCCAATAGCCCAGCAATAACAATACTCATCTGAAGGTAAGAAAACGGAGGTTAAACGCTTCTCCAAGGTCCCACCCCTCATAAGTGGCAAAACCGCGGTGCAAACCACGACAGTTTGGCTCCCAAGCCAGGGCTCATTCCATCACAGCAGCACACAGGGTGGTAGAGGAGCCTGCATGTGTTCGGAATGTATTTCCTTTCACCACCATTCAGGACTTAAACATGACAGCTTATATACCTATAAGCCAAGGACTTACCCTGTGACCATAAAACACCGGTCCAATAGAATCTTTAACTTCCACAATCTATAGAGAAGCTTAACTCTTTGTGACTACATCCTACCTTTGGATATTTTTTCATTGTTGTTCCCAAGTTAGCCGTGAAACTTGTATTGTGGTCTAGTCTCAAATTCATTTCCAGCCTCACTACTTAGTCAATGTCTGATCTCGGGACATTTAACTTTTCTGAATCTCCGCTTCCTCGCCTGGACAATGGGGAAGTTGACTCTATGTCCTGCTTACTTCACAGGGTTGGTCGGAGGTTCAAATGACAATACAATGGAAGGGACCTTGTCCTACATAAATGTCATGATCTACGTGATATTTCCCCAAAGCATTCTACAGTGGTGCAGTTGATATAAAATGAAAAGACTTAAAAGAGTTTTGAAAAATAAAATGCTCTGGGCCAATGAGAGCATTATATAAGCACTTAGTCATTATGTCAATGCCAGTTCCTGAACTGCCCACTCTCCATTGGTGAGCATGAACTCACAGACTGTACCTAGGATGATAGGGCTGTAAGTGTAATGTGTGATTACTGCCTTCATTAGGACCTGTTTACACATTACAATGATATTTACTGAGCCTTGAAGAGGGATAAATTATGCAAGACTAATTCCTAAACTCAATGCAAATTTAATATACTTTTTAATGTGCTAAGTACAACAAAAAAAGTTAAATTCTAAAAAGTTACACAAGTTAAAAACTGTAATTCAGTAACTCATATAATGGTCAAAGATATACATTAACCCACCAGGAGGCATTTCCATAGGCATACAGAGCATCTGAAAGCCATGAGCACATACGTACTTAATTTTGACTAATAAGTTCCATTTCTAGGAATCTACCCCCAAAATATATTTTAATAATACAAAATTACATATATATATAAGTTTACTCATTGCAGCATTGATTATAATTGCAAAATAATGGAAACGGCCTAAGTACCCATTCATAGGAGAATGGTTAAATGATGCTATACTGTCACAACTGAATACTAGGCAGCTGTAAAAAAATGAAGGGGGGAAGATCACTAGGAACTTCTAAATCATTCAATGAAAAAGGTAAAGTGCAAGGATTTATATGGTGTGCTATCAC